AACCCACACAGTAGTTTCTCCATTACAATATGATAAGTGTCCAGTTTGTAACATCACAATCTGATTTTGTAAATCACATATTTGTTACCCATCTGGGAGCATTTTGACAACCATTGTTCTTTCTGTTGGTGCTGTTTTTGATATACATGCAGTTAACAAAATCTATCCCATCTTCTCAAACCCACAAATTCTTTTCCCTTTTTTTTCTTTTAAAGCTAATACAAATGAGTCTTCTGGGGGAATGTTAATGCCACTCTGGCTTATGTCTTAAAGTAAGAAAAACCATTTCAACATACATCACTTCATCCTATTTGCCTTCTCCTACCAGCTGTAACAAAGTGCTATGTTTTACAGTTTCACATGGTGGCCACTTCTCAGCATCTTCTAACTTCTACAACGACCACCAATTAGTACAATACTTAATTAAAACTTTCCCCCCTACATTTCCAGTAGGGATTGCTCCTAAATCTTTCCAGTGTGCCAGAACACACCCTAGTGGACTCTTTCAAGGAATTTCTTTACTTGCCTGGCTTCCCACCTGAATATTTAAAAGTTTCCTTTCACAGATTTGTTTCACACACGCACAGAATACAATTGAGTTTAAAACAGTTAATAAAACACAATATTACAAGTACAAGGCTCAAATTGCAATTCCAATACCCAGTTCCATGCCAAAAGTCATAAAACCTTAAGAGCTACCAAAGGGGACCCTAACTCCTATACCAAGTGGGGGTTTTAACCCCTTACCAAGTGGGGATTCTAACCCCTATACCAAGTGTACCGACTAAGGAATTTCACCTGTGGTATGGCACCTCCATCTCCTCCCTCGTGGCATCAATCTCATGGTCCTGGTGCTCGTTTGGTGGTCGTGAAGATGAAGTGTCTCCTCTTCCTCAGTACACTTTGGACACCCCTATTATGTAACCGTTTACCCCTTTGTACAGTTTTGCATGCCTTGCTGACCTTGCCTCTATCTTGAACATTTTGTTTCTTCATTCCACACCTTACACCATCTTAGTTTTCCCCTTACTGCCAAGGTTTGAGTCTAGTTAGTTCTACTGTCTTATAGAAAAGGTGCATCGTTTCGCCAGCCAAGCCAAAACAACACCATTAGTGAAGCTTCTTGTCTGTACTATGCAATCCTTGCTATTTTGCTGAAATAGTGCCATTAGTAAAGTTATTCTTTATGCTTTCAGCTCTAACTGTTCAATTCCTGTTTTCAGTCTACTTCTCGCTATCAGTGTACCTGGCTTTTGCTTTGTCTACGAAACTGTCTCTGTCTTGGCCCACAAGTTTTCACTCTTTTAGCCTTACAGTTCTCTTCCTAATCCTACTGTGGAACAGTGAGCAAGCAGTTCTGTGGGGCTGATTTGCTAGCTGGGGTTGAACCATAACACTGCATCAGGGGGAAGTTCAGGTTGAACATTAGGAAAAGGGTCTTCACCCAGAGGGTGTTCAGTTCCTGGAACAGGCTCCCCAGGGAAATGGCCATGGCACCAAGCCCATCAAGAGTTAAGGAGGATCTGGGCAATGATCTTAGTCATATGGTTTAGTGTTAGATAGTTCTGCAAGGAGCTGAGTTGGACTTGGTGATACTCATAGGTCCCTTCCAACTCAAGATATTCTGTGACTGTGTATTAGACTATGTGAACTGAGCAGACACCTGTAGTCACCAGTCTCTCTTTCCAATCTGATGGCACACCGACCACTTTGTTACAGAGATGATACTGCATAGGTGAGGTGGCACTTAGCACTTAACAGGTCAGCTTCCTCTTGTGCCAGCTGTGCCTCTTCAGCACAAAGACACTGGAAATTGAAATGAACAGAGGAATCAAGTAGAAACAGGGCATAAGAAAGACCTTGAAACAGGCAAGCTGGGGGAGTGCACAAGGAGACGGAATGAGTCAGTGGAAGAACCAGGTCATGAGATCTGGAACTGGAAAGTAGATTAAAGATATGTAATGAAAAAGTAGCCCTAGAGAGGTAACTACTTGGTAACATAAGTGAAATGTTTCTTGAAATCAAACTTTAGACACTAGGGAACAATTCTTTGCTGTGGCGGTGGTGAGGCACTAGAACAGATTGCCCAGCACAGTTGTGGATGCCCCATCCCTGGAAGTCTTCAATGCCAGGCTGAATGGGGCCCTGAGCAGCCTTGTCTAAGTGGAAGGTGTCCCTGCCCATGGAATGGGGCTTGGAACTAGATGATCTTGAAGGTCCCTTCCCACCTAAACCACTCTGTGATCCTACGAAATTCAGTCTATTTGGAGGCTGATGCCATTGGATTGTCCACGAGAGAATACTTGCAACTTATGAACTCAGTGACTCAATTAATTGCATCTGGCCAAAGGGCAGACTTGCAGACAACAATTTCGTAAAAGCTTCATGAAAATACAACCCCAAATTAAATCTGACCCCACGCTACACTTCAGAGGCAATGTCAACTCAGTGAGCAAGAACCAAATTCTGGACTTTCTGCTGCTCATCAATGTGCAGTAAACACCGCTGTATAGACATCACCCATGAGCAAAATCAAGGCTTTAGGTTGTAATGACTTTTAAGCAATATTGGAAGTCTATCTGCCAATTTTATACAGAAACATCTACACAGACACATTCTACTTTGAAAAACAAGACCTAAGCAATATGCAATTGAACCAAGAGGACATGATTTTTGTTTAAAAAAGCAGCTTCTTGCATGTGCAAGTGTAAAAACACGTGGAATTCTGTGTGTTTAAGTACTACTGTGTTAACAGAGTGTATTTCAGGCTACTGTAGGTGTACAGTTTTCAGTACCCCAACCACGGATGCCACATAGATCTTCTGCCTTTAGGAAACTTGCAATGAATTCGGTATTTAACACTAGAATTCTAAGTTTCAAGTCATACCCCATGTCCACATTTCAGGCCCTCAAGAAACTGATTAGAGGCAAAAGTAGCACCTTTTTTCCTATTAGGAAAAGGAAAGAGGCAATTAAGAACCACTAACCATTTGCGTTCACTAGGGATTATGAGGAGGAAAAAAAAGTAGACCACTCCCCAAGAGAAAATTCCTATAAGTTAAAGCTGTTAAAAGTTTATACTGCTGTCAGACTAGGAAACCTGACTTTGGAATTCCAGTTCATTATGAGCACCACTGACTACCCAGTTATTTTAATTCTTTGTACATGTTACATTGAGCTCTTTCCCAGTGGCATTCAAGTATAAGAGGCCAATTCATGAAAGTAGAAATATCTGGCCTGTCCCTGTTGCCAAGTAATTTTTCAAACCCAGAATCCCAGAAGACAATAAGAGTCCAAACGCAAACCTAATCAAGACATTGATATTTTGTTTACTAAAAGATCAAGTCCACATAGTTTTGGCTGTAAAAAGTTATTTACAATATTATGTCCCTGTACTTATGTTTCATCCCCTGTAACATTTATACTGATGCTTCAGTTCTGAAAAGCTTTCTTTGCTTCTTCCTCTGAATCTTGCGTAGCTTCTTTTTATCTTTAACAATTGGCTTTGACTCCGGTTTCACGAGCTGTATTTCCACTGGCTTTTCTTCACCCGGAGTTTCAAAGACCACTTCAGTGGGATCCTCTTCAATAAGGACCTTACACTCTTTTTTCTTAATCTTTTGCACCTCCTTCACGTGCTGTTTCTCTCTAAACTTAGCTGCCACTGACAACCGTATCAGCCGCCGATGCTATGAAAACGAGAATTGAGATTTCATGTTTGAAAATAAGCATGATGGAAGAAATCAGGTACTAACATTGTAATTTCTCTGCTTAATGGTCAAAATCCTCAGTGTAATGACGTCTTTTCAGTGACATGACTTTTGCATTCATTCCATGTTTACTCTGCTCCCAAATTGTGGTTAGCTGGGGCACTCCTTTCTACAAACAGTCTCAGGGAAAGGCATACATGATGCTTCCGCATAGACAGACTGCAAGATTGGTTTTCAAACTAGTTGTTAAAAGAAAGACAGAACTGCTTACCATATTTGGGGACTGGTAATGTGGATTTTCATACAGAGTTGGTCCTCCAAAGCTACCTTGGAATATTTTTATGAGGTTCAGGACAAAACGAGGCCCAATTTCTACTAGAGATGCATCTTCTTCTATTATCTGCAATAAAAATACTTTCTTCATTTCTCATGGATCAAATCAAAGTATATGACCTTGCAGACACCTTGCAAATGATAACAGGCAACTGAATTTAAGTATGAGATACAGTGCCACTGAAGCTGATAGGATAGGCTTGTGTAAACCTAATTCTATATAAAAAGCAATTCTTTTATGTTCAGGCAAGGTTTTAGAGAGTCCTAGGTATGTGTGAATTCCTCCTTTAGAAATTAAGCACCAGCTCATTTTGGGTCAAACCATCAAGTAGGATTAAAAGGCAAAATTTAGGCATTGGCCAGTACTTCCCATTACCAAGATAATGTCACAGGATCCCAATTCACCGAATGCAAGTTGTTTGAACCAGATCTCTCCAGAGATACAGGAGAAGCCAAGTCATTTCAGGACACTGAAATTACTTGCTACAAGCACTAGGGGTTGGAATATCCCGGTAATAATTTCTCATTTTAATTAATGGATTTGATATGAAATTACTCCACTGAACTCCTTTTCAAGAGGTAAGAGAGACCACTAACCTGGTAATTCCGAAACCAGATCCTCTCATCAGTAACGGTGAAGGTGAAAACATGATCGACGAAAGGCTGACTTTTGGGGTGATACTGTGGTGTGCTGAATATCTGTAACAAAAGGCAGTACTTCTGAGTGTCTGTAATTTAAGAGGTCAAACATAAATGGCTCATTTTAAATTAATTTTAGCTTACTAAGATCCCAATCCCAGGTTACATTTCAAAACTTAAGAACAAGTGTTCCAATCATGCTAAGAATATCATCCTAATCCTTTGACTACTTTTTGAAAGTTCAGAAGTGCAACACTGCTACTTGAAAAAATACTTGAGATTTTTAAGTATGTTGCCAAAAAACATTTCTAGTGAAACACCAGACAGCAGAACTACAGACTGACCTGAATGAACAGTTCTTTTAGCAGGGCATAGTGTGGCTCCTTGTCAAATATCTACAAAGAATAAAAATGCAGTTTTACATACAACGCTAAATGCAACAGTCATGCAAAGAAAATGCATGGAGGACCAGCTCTGTATGAAAAAGCATACTCAGTGAATAAAACCTATACTTACTGGATCGAAAGACAAAAGGGGCCGTGAGCCCCTTAGACAGTTTCCTGTCATCTTCAATTCAGCCAGGGTGTGAACTACAATGATTTTAAGAAAGATATTTTACTAC